TCTTGTCTTAGACAGGTTATGCGTTATTTAACATAATCCAAGGTACGAACCTATGTTAATGTTTATGCCGATGAACTTCATGTCACTTCGTCCTTATGTGTTTCATTGCACCATTGTGCATCCGATATTAAGTTGTGTAAACTGTACAAAAGTGGAAAAGTATTAATGGACACAAAACCATAAAGAATATCTAGAATGATAATTGTTGTTTACCACTGTTCATGCGTTCGTTGACTTATCCAGTTATTCCTGCACATCTGTTACTTTGGTCTTTCATCATTCGTTCATTCATGTACGCATTCATTCAGTTATTGATTCACACTTATTCGCTGATCTGTTCAGATTATTTATTCATTTATTTACCAGTTCACTCAACAGTTCATTCAGTTATTCACTTTCTTATAACTTCATTCAATTAATCATTCTCTCATTCATCCAATTGCTTTTTCGCTCACTCGTTTTGTTCAGTCATGCATTCCTTTATTCGTCCGCTCCTTCGTTCATCAATCTGATCATTGTTTCATTTACGCACTCATTCAGTCTTACTTCACTCACTCGTTCGAGTATTCATTCACACAGCCATTCACTGATTTGTCTACTCATATATTGTTCGGAATATTCTCTTCTTGTTCAGTAGTTCATAAATTCAGCCATTCCCCCATTGACTCAGTCATTCACTAACTGGTTTATGCATTCTTTATCGTTATTTCATTTAGTAATTCACTCATTCATTTTGTCATTCGCTTATCTGTTCCTGTATCCATCTTTCCTTTTTCTTTCAGTCAGTCGTTCGTTTATTCCTTCATTTTTACACTCATTCCATAGCTCGCTTATTTATTCGTTCTTGGACTATTTGATATATTTCATCGCGGGCGTTCTTTTTCCGCTTCAATTTCAGTAAACAAATTGGTAGTAACCAGGTGACAGTGGCAAAAGTCATAAAAGGGATTTAATTAAAGAGAGTTTAGTTTGCTGATCTCATTCAGCATATTAATATCAAAATTGGTGCATCCGGAAAGCGGAACTGATCTGACGGTATAAAGGAAGACTCTAATTAGTCTACTGTTAGAAGGCCGTACAACAGCTTATAATTCAGCACTCATTTATCAGGAACATACACAGTTGAAAGGTATCAAATTTTTGCTTCATCGCGAAGTGTATTACTGTAGCACCTGCCAGTAGTTGCAAGGTTATGAATGGAAAGACCCCAACGATTCTGACCGTAGAACACTAAATTTCATTCAT